GCCTTACCGACTCCTAGGGAGCACTCAAGGCCCTGTCCAGTGCTCATGGAGCATCTCAATAAGCCATACTGTGAGCCATAAAAATAAGACTCAGTAAATTTGCAAGGACTACATTTTATGACTGTAGCAGAATTAAACAATCAACAACAGAAAGATACCTGAAAAATCTCAAACATTTTAGTAATAGGGATGATCTGAAATGTTTGGTGGGCCCTGGCTTTAGGTGAGCTCCCCCCCTCCCCCATGCTTCTCATTTGGTCCAAGGAAGGAATTGGGGGATGCTGAGCTCCTTAGTCAGTTTCTGGACAATCAGATTCTTGCTTAAATTTCACTGAGAACAGAGGTTAAAATGCAATAAGTGATGTGGGAACTGGGCAGGCAGGCCTTTTCCCTGCCTTCTACCTCCTCACTTGCTTCCAGTGTGGCCACTAGTGACCACTGCTTTTCTTGCAGGAAGCCACCCAGCACCTGACGCCTGCCTTTCAATGCCTTGCCAGAATGGGGGCACCTGTGTGGATGCAGATCAGGCCTACGTGTGCGAGTGCCCTGAAGGCTTCATGGGCCTGGACTGCAGGGAGAGTGCGTTGGGGTTGCCAGGGCTGCAGTCCTGGGGCTGGGACAGGAGACCCAGGGAGGGCCCTTCCATGGATGGTGCATGCAGAGAACATGTACGAGAGTGTGAGCGTGTGTACACAGCCATTTTATGGGGAGTTGGCCAGAAGCAGGACAGGATCAGGAGAGAGCCCCATCTTCCTGTATCCCCACATGAGAGGCCCCCCTCTTTCCCTGGCAGGAACCCCCAGCAACTGTGAGTGCCGCAATGGAGGCAGGTGTCTGGGCACCAACACCACCCTGTGCCAGTGTCCCCCAGGCTTCTTTGGGCTGCTCTGTGAGTTTGGTAGGTGCCCAGGGGGGACCCTTCCTGCCCCATCCCTGTACTTCCCTATGATCAGGGTATAAATGGTGGCTTGAGTCTGGGCCAGGACGCACAGGTCCAGACAGTGTCCACACTGGTGGGTTCATGACCCCCTACCCCCACCCCAAGCTGGCCTGTCAATAAGAGTGCCTGAATCTGGTCACTCTGTTGAGGTCACTGGGTATTGGGCAGCCCCCCTTGTCAAGGACACAGGTCCCCAGGAAGACATCCAGGATGCAGATGCCTCCTCTTCCTGCAGAAGTCACAGCCATGCCCTGCAACATGAACACACAGTGCCCAGATGGGGGCTACTGCATGGAGTACGGGGGGAGCTACCTCTGCGTCTGCCACACTGACCACAATGTCAGCCACTGTGAGTGGCTCAGGGATCGGCCTGCAGGTTTGGGGTCCTGGCAAGAAACCAGGGAGGTGTCTGGAAGGAGAAGCAGCAGTGGGAGTGGGCAGAGGCCAGGGATTCTGCTTTCCTGTGACTTGCCTGCACCTGCAGGAGCCTCTCCACAGCTAGCCCTGTCCCATGAGCCCGGTGGCTCCCCTGCCACACTCACTAAGCTCCCTGGTAAAGAGGCACTTTGACACACATACAAGCCCCTTGTGATGTCTTCCCCTAATCCCTGGCACAAGCTATTAAAATATTTAATGTATACGTAATTCAGTATGTGTAATTAAATACAGCTACTACCATATGTTTGTTAGTGTACAGATGACAAATCAACTACATGGTATGCAATTACATAGAATAATGACAGTGATGCTGGCAGTGATGATAGGAGGACATTTATGGGTTGCAGCTCAATCCTATGCCAAAGAGGGAAGGTGGGTTCTGGTAAAATCAAGAGTAACAGAAATTCCTGGGAGGGGCCTTAGAGCCACTGTGAGGAATCAAGGCACCCACAAAGGGATTTAAGCAGCCTTGGTTCTGTACAGGATATCAGGGTGACCCTGGCAGGCACAGCGCCCTGCCAGCCTCTTGCCATGCAGAGGACGCGGCCCACTCCTCCTCTGCCTCCCCAGCCCTGCCATCGCCCTGTGACTCGGACCCCTGCTTCAACGGAGGCTCCTGTGATGCTCAGGACGACTCCTACACATGCCAGTGCCCGCGTGGGTTCCAGGGCAGGCACTGCGAGAAAGGTAGGAACGGCGGGCACCCGCGTCAGCACCCTGGAGAGCGCCCGCCCTGCAGCACGAGTCTGGCCTCAGCTCCTCTTGTCTTCTCTGTTGGCTTTTTTCCCCCAATTAATTATTTGCCTCCTTAGAGCCTGGCTGGCTGTATGCTATGTTCTATCCACTTTGGGGCTGGCACCTCACTGCTTAACTGCTTTGGTCGCTTGTTCTGATCTGCAGCAATGCCAAGCTGGTCATCACCTCACTTTCCTCAGAATAGGCTTCATTTCCTGCTCAGCGCTTTTCCAAATAGATTGCGGAATCATTTTACTAAGCTATTTTAAAGCTTCATTAGGACTTTGTGACACCTAATTCGGTGTGGAGAATGTCGATATTTTACAACACTTAGACACTTAGGCAAATAGCTGTAAGTATTCCTGGTAGGTGCACTGCAGGTGCACAGCTGTCCTTGCCAGGGCCTACCGAGGACTATCTCTTCCTGCAGTTGTAAACAATACTCAGGACTCCCCCCAGTGACTCTTTGGCTTGTCAGGCATCCCTTGGCCAATGCTGAGGGTGGCAGCCTGACCTGGGGTGGCCTGGCCTGCTCTCCTGGGGCTCAGGCCCAAAGCAGCTCCCAGCACCAGCTGTGGGCAGCACTGAGACCTCAGTGGGTCCAGCTGGGCACCTTCCCAGGGCACCTCTCCTGCTCTGCACCATGTCCCTGACAGCAGGACCTTGACAGTCTGACCCCTGGGATCCCCAGGGCTTCTACCATGCCTGCAGCAGGAGAGGTTTCCAAAGACAAGGTCCACTGCTTGGTTCTCTCTGAGCACTGCTGGGGTCTTTTACCCTCAACACACTCCCAGGACCACCCTGAGAATCTGCTCTGCCCAGAACCCACCTTGGCTCTCCTCCTGCTACAAGCCCCACCCCAGGGGGTACGGAGGCCCAGCCATGGCACTAAGGGACATCCTGCCAGAGCCCACACCTCCTCTCTGGGCCACACTCCCAGCACTTCATATCCCTGCCCACCCCAGGAACTACACAGACACCCCCTCTCCAGGGTTCCTGCTAATGACAGCAGATAGAGCCACCAGTGTGGTCACCTCTGTGCCAAAAGGGGTGGCAAAGAGGGGACTGGAGGTGGCTGTTCTCAGGAGTGGGCAGAGAAGGGTACACACAGCAGGACAGCGATATCCCCTCCTGCACACCTGGCCCCCAGAACGCCCAAGAGGACAAGGATTCTGAACTCAGTGGCATCTGTGAAGTTGTGATTTGTCAGAGTGGTAGGACAACCATGATGTGTTTGATTCTTTAGGTAGAGAAGAAAGGACAGGTGGGGCCTCTGCTGTGTGAGGCTACTTGGGGTCCCCAGCCTGTGAGTCTCACCCCCAACCCCATGTGTACCTGGCTATGGCCCTCAGAGCTCAGCCAAGAAGCCTGCCCAGCCTCCCAGGCCCACCCAGGGCTGGGAATGAGGAAGACCCAGTAGTGTGTAGTAGGCTCCACAGGGCCAGGGCTGGCCCCTGCTCATCTGTCTCTCTCCATCCTTCCACACAGCCCGGCCATATCTATGCAGCTCGGGGCCCTGCCGCAACGGGGGCACGTGCACGGAGGTGGGCGGAGAGTACCACTGCAGCTGCCCCTACCGCTTCACTGGGAGGCACTGTGAGATCGGTGCGGCCCTGGGGTGGGAGGGCAGGGTGATGGGCCAGCACGAGCCAGCCTGGGCAGAGGAGGAGGGAGCCAGGCTTGACTTGGGACCCCAAACTTCCAACCCAGCTGCCCTGGGCCTACTTTTCAGGAATGCTGTCATAAAGATGCCCCAGCCTGCAGGCATCAGGGGGCGGAGGGCGGGGGCAAGTTGAGCCAGCTGGGTGCCTTCTACTTCCAGGGAAACCAGACTCATGCGCCTCCGGCCCCTGTCACAATGGCGGCACCTGCTTCCACTACATTGGCAAATACAAATGTGACTGTCCCCCAGGCTTCTCTGGACGGCATTGTGAGATAGGTGAGGCCAGGGCAGCTGGGGACAGACTCCAGACGTGAAAGCAGCCCCAGCAGGCAGAGCTGGCCCAGGCCCTGGAGGGTGGAAGGTGGAGTTGGGTGCAGGAGGCAGCATTTCCCGTGCTGCCCAGGGCCTCAGAAAAGACAACTCAGGAGAGACCTTCCTGCATTCTTGCAGCCCCCTCCCCCTGCTTCCAGAGCCCATGTGTGAATGGGGGCACTTGTGAGGACCTGGGCTCTGATTTCTCCTGCCACTGCCAAGCAGGGTACATGGGACGCCGGTGCCAGGCAGGTAAGAGGGACAGAGTATTTGTGGGGGGTGGGGGGATGGGATTTCTTCCTAATCCCCAAGGAGCTGGGCAGGGCCATGAAAGGAAAAGAAGGAAAAAAGGAGCCCCTCACCTTGGGCAGCCAGGCCCCAGAAGTCAAGGGACCTCCCTCCGGGAAGGGCAGTGCCAGGGAGGGGCAGAGGGCAGCAGAGGGGGGCCTGGTCAGGTGCTGGACAATGTGGGACCATGGCTGTGCCCTTGTAGAGGTGGACTGTGGCTCCCCAGAGGAGGTGGAACATGCCACACTGCGCTTCAACGGCACTCGGCCAGGATCGGTGGCCCTGTATGCGTGTGACCCTGGCTACAGCCTGAGCACCCCCAGCCACATCCGGGTCTGCCAGCCACAAGGTGTCTGGAGTGAGCCTCCTCAATGCCTAGGTGATTTCTCGGGCCCTCAGGAGCGGAGCAGGGTGGAGTGGGTCACTTGGAGGAGCACAGGGCTGCAGGCCCAGGCCTGGACACCAGGTCTGGACACCAGGTCTGACCCTGCACCTCCCTCTTCCCCATTCTGTGTGAATCAGGGCCAGATCCCTCAGTGGCAGTGATGGTCACTATTGACTTTGCTGGGCCCGCTCACTGAGGGCCCCTGTCTCCAGAGAAACCAGAGCAGGCGCCAAACACCCACATGCTTGCTCTGAGAAGTGGCTGAGGCCAAGAGGAGCCAGGCTGGAGTCCTGGAGAGGCAGCACAGGGCCCACCAAGACGGTGCAGTCAGAGCCTGCGTCTGAGGAGTCAAGGCGATGCCAGTATAGAAGATGGATTAACAATATAAATAATCATGACAAACAGGCAAAAGCAAACATCACCAAGGCCACGTCCACAGGGTCAATTAATCATTAAAAAAGAAATTGGAAATAAGATTAAAATTACAGTAGTTGGTTGGGTGTGGTGGCTCACACCTATAATCCTAGCAGTGGGAGGACTGCTTGAACTCAGGAGTTCAAGACCAGCTTGAGCCAGAGTGAGACCCTGTCTCCAAAGCCCAAGAGTTTGAGGTTGCTGCGAGCTATGATGCCAAGGTACTCTACTAAGGGCTACAAAGTGAGACTGTCTCAAAAAAAAAAAAAAAATTATAATAGTTGAAATAACAAACATTGATTTGCAAATGGATACAGATGAAGGACACCTTAATAGGTTGAAAGCTCAGTTTAAAGAACTGTCCTAGAAAGAAGCAGGAAAAGAAAAATCAAAAAAGCGTAGGCGCTGGGTGCAGAGCATGGGCAGGGGCGGGGCAGGAATAGAAGCAGGGTCGGGAAGGGGCGGGGTCGGGGCAGAAAAGGGATTGAAGTAGGGCGAGGCAGGGGCGGGGCAGGGGGCGGGGCAGGGAGAAGGAAAACACAAAGGTAAAATGGAATTTTTGAGTGTGCAGTTAAATTCCTAGAATTACAGATTAATGACAGGACAAAGGGGCCTACAGAACAGTCAAACAGGAAAGAAGGGAAACAAACAGGCACATTACAGTAAAATTTAGGAATATCACAGACAAAAATAATTCATATACTTAGAGGGAAAAACAGGTCATCTGAAAAGGAATAGGAATTAGATTGACATCTGATTCTGCAACATTGGAGGAAGGATAACGAAAGGAACATTTTAAAATAATGAGGCTATCAGGCGTCCTCAAACTGTGACGCCCCGAGGACATTTATCCAGCCCACTGGGTGTTTTTGCTGCTGCTGCCTATCCTGCATAGCAGCCAACTCGTCCCATGGCCCACGGTTGGGTCCTCCAATGGTCTGAGGGACAGTAAACTGGCCCCCTGTTTAAAAGTTTGAGGACCCCTAACCATCACTCCTACTGCAATGTCAAGGAAACACCATGAAACTTATGAAATCATATTTTTTAACCTAACAAAGAGCATAACATGCAAAGAAGCCCAGATAAGCCCTTACCTGGTGAGAAAGAGTGTCAGCTGCCTTCATCCCTGGAAGCAAACTCATCATGGACAGGGGACATTTGAGAAGCAGAGAAAATTCAACCAAACTTATAATGCTATGGGGGCAAATAGACTGAAATCAAGAGAAGCCACAGAGAAAGCCCTCAGCACCCACCAGTTCTCCCCCACAGGACTGTTACAAGTGCATGAAAAGCCAGGAGCTGGTCAGGAAAGCAGAGAGAGATTTCTTCATCTCACAAGGCTTATACCCCAAGTCCACCTGTTCCAATTGTTAAGCGTTCAAAACCACCTACAACTATGCTCCAGCCCTACCCAACTCAGCTCCTGAAGCTGTCTGGCAGAGAACAGAGCAAGTTCGTCACAGGATAGGACTTCTCTGCTCTGTTTCCTCTCTTCTCATACTTACTGTGTCTGTGGAGCAAGAAGCTGGACACACAACCTAGTGACAAAATAGGACTCCAGATGACCCAGATGTGTGAATTTGCAGGCAAGGACTTTAAAATATCAGTATAAATGAGTTAAAGAAAATGGAAGAAAAGGGTGGCACCTGTGGCTCAGTGGGTAGGGTGCCGGCCCCATATACCGAGGGTAGCGGGTTCAAACCTGGCCCTGGCCAAACTGCAACAAAAAAATAGCCAGGCCCTCTACCAAGGGCAACAACGTGAGAACCTGTCTTTTAAAAAAAAAAAAGAAAGAAAGAAAGAAAGAAAGAAAGAAAGAAAATAGAAGAAAAGAGAGGCCAAAATGAATGAGAGAATAGAGAATCTGAACAGAAGAAAGAAATAAAGTAACAGAATGGAGATTCTAGAACTGATACTAGAACACCCGCCATGAAGGATAAGTTGGATAGCCTTAACAGAATGGATTCAACAGAAGAAAAAACATCACAGAATTCAAAAGATAAGATGACATACTTAACTATAGGTCAAAGATAAAAATTATCTTTAAAATGAATTATGAATAAGTGAACTTTTGAAAACCAGAACAGACTATCAGAGATAGGTCAGATAGTATTGAACAGGTAAAGAAGCACATAACTGGAGCCTCAGAGATAGAGGCCAGAAAGAATAAAATAAATATTAATATTTGGAGAGATAATGAGCATTTTCTAAAAATGAAGAAATACATCAACCCACAAATCCAAGAATCTCAGCAAATCCTAAGGACAGATATTGGAATAAACAATTTAAAACCTAAACATTTTTATTCCGTCAAATTACTACTCAAATATGAGAGCATAAAAATACTCTCATGCAAACACAGCTTTGGAAGCTTAGCAAAAAAGGTCCTATTTTAGGAGGGAGCATTCACTAAGCCAATCCCAACACTACACAAAAAGAGTAATAGAACTCTGATCAATTGGGATTCATCTCAAGGATGCAGGTTGTCTCGCATATGAAAATTAAATCAATGTACTTCACCATATTAGATTAGGAGAAAATCATATGATATCTCAACAGATGCTAAAAAATTATTTGACAAAATTCAACTATTATTGAAAATTCTTTTTTTTTTTTTTTTTTTGAGACAGAAGACTCAAGCTATCCCCCTGGGTAGAGTGTCTTGACATCACAGCTCACAGCAACCTCCAACTCCTGGGTTCAAGTGAGTCTCCTGCCTCAGCCTCCCAAGTAGCTGGGACCACAGGCGCCCACCACAACGCCCGGCTATTTTTTGTTTGCAGCCGTCATTGTTGTTTGGCGGGTCTGGGCTGGATTTGAACCCGCCACCTTAGGTGTATGTGGCTGGCACCTTAGCCACTTGAGCCACAGGTGCCAAGCCAACAAAATACTTGAGTTCAAATCCTTTCCCTGTAGTCAGGAGTAAGGCAAAAGTGCCCATTCTGCTAATTCTTTCCAACGTTGTTCTGGAGGTCCTAGACAGTGCCACTGACAAGAAGAGGAAATACAAGGCATGTGTATTGGGAAGGAAGAAGTAAAGAGAACACAAGTGTGTACACAGAAAACCCTAAGGAGAAGCTGCACAACGCGTGAACGAACCCAACTAAGCCGCAGGCTACTGGGTCATTACAGGACCCAATTACATTCCCATATTCTATCAGTGAACCCTCAGAAAATTAAACAAAACAGTATTACATACAATAGCATCAAAAAACATAAATTTTTAATCATGTAAAAGGAATTATAAATGTAAAAGCTAAAACTATAAACTTCTAAAAGCATATGAAAAAATATTCGTGACAGTTGGAATAAAATGGCTAAGCACTTGGAAAAATATTATATCCATTCTGTATTTCTCATCATATATAGTAACAAAACTCCAGACAGATTAAAGACTTAATTTTTTTTTAACTACGTAATTTTTAGCCGGTGTTGTGGTGGGCGCCTGTAGTCCCAGCTACTTGGGAGGCTGAGGCAGGAGTATGGCTTGAGCCCAAGAGTTTGAGGTTGCTGTGAGCCGTGACACCATGGACTCTACCCAGATCACAGAGAGTCTGTCTTAAGAACAAAACAAAACAAAAAAAATTTTATGTGGAAAATATAGGTAAATATCTTTTTGACCTTGAAGTAGTGAAAGACTCCTTAAGCCACAGAAAGTGCTTACATATAAAAGGGTTAATGGACAAACTCAACTGTATAGAAATTAGAAACTTAAATCCATAAACTTTAAAGAAGAAAGTGAAATATGATTATAAGCTACGAAGTAGGAGAAATTATATATAATTACAAGACGATATGAAGAACCTTGATAAATCAATAAGAAATGAATAACCAACCCAACAAGAAAACAGACAAACACATGAATAGATATTTCACAGAAGAAATACATAAGGCCAACAGACATAAAAAGAAATACTCTCAAAAGCACAATGAGATGCATTCCGTTGGCAAACTTCCAAAGTCTAAAAAGCCTCTGTGAGAACACAAGTCAGTAGGACTTCTTATGAGCTACAGATGGAGTGTAAACCAGTGTGAGCAATTTGGAAACTATTGGGAATTTGCCTGTTGTGTTGAACATTTATGTCAACCCCAGCAATTCCACCTCTAGGTATCAACTGAAGAACAATGTATACATCTACATCAGAAAACATGAAAGGATATACACAGTAGCTTTTTTTGTAATAGCAGATAGACTAGCACCAACCCAAATGCTCAGCCACAAGAATGGACGGAGTGTGGCACAGCCCTGCCCCGTAGGAATAACAGCAGTGACGCTGATCATGGAAAACCACAGCTCCAGGAGGGCTCTCACAGGCTGAGTGGAAGAAGAGGGTGCACCTCACGACCCCCTATTACTAAAGTCCACCACCAAAAAGGGCAAGTGTGCATTATTCAGGTGCTGCAGAGAAGTTGGCGTCACAGAGAGAAGGAGGGCATGTGTCCAGGTGGCCTGGTGGTATTGTAACCCTGGGGATGTGAGTCCAGGTGTCCTTAAGTCATTATCATCTTTTAACTTACTTTTTAAGAATTAAAATTCAACTTTCCTAAAATAACATTTAAATTCAGGAGGACAACTTCTAGTTTAAAAGAAGCCCGTGGTGGTGAATCTTTTAAAACTAAGCATGTCCCCAGATGTACTGGTTTCACACAAGATTAGTATATATAGTATATATTGGGATGGCAAGATAGCATGTAAGACATTTTCTGCCAAAACTCAGAGGCCTTTGAGTCTGTCCCCTGAGAGCCACTGGGATTAAACCCTGAGGTGTCTTCTGTGAGCCCTTGTGCCTGGTCACTACACGGATACAACTAGCCACTGAGCCCCAGGGCCACTGCCTTCTCCCCCACAAAGGGGTCAGGGGGCCCCTCTAGGCACTGAGGGGATACCATAATATTCTGTCTGGCTCCCCCAAACAAACACATGTCCCTCCTGCCTTAGCTTAATATAGCCATGTTACGTTACTCTTGGAGGCCCAGAAGAAACTGGAGAGTAGGGGTCTCAGCCATACCTGCGCACAGGGCATGCAGGAGCCCACTCTCAGCCGGGAAGGAGGGGTCCTGGCCCCCAGGGGGTGGGCAGCCTCAGTGTCCTGGCCCTGGCCGTGGTGCTCCAGCCACTCCTCTCCCTGGACAGGTCTTTGTCTGGATGGCCAGGTTGGCCACTGCTTATGCTCTCAGGCCCCTGGCAGCCCTGACATCCAGGACAGAGATTTACAAACATCTCTGATTCCACCTTCCCAGGAGTCTGAAAGCTCAGCTGGGAAATACTGACCTGGCCTCAGACACGGGACCCAGGGGGCAGAGAAGGTGGGCAGCAGAGAGGACAGGTGACAACCTCTGACTCCAGGCCTGGTGGTGCCAGCTGGTGGAGGGAGAAGACTGCCCTTCATGCCAGGGATGAGCCCTCCAGTACACAGCATAAGAGCAGCCTGGGGGGGCACAGACATGGCCTCCCAAGGGGCGAGTTGGGGGCTGGTGTAGGAAAAGGCCCATACCCAGAACACAAGGTGGCTGAAGCCTCAGGGTGGTGGCACACCCCAGGGAAGCACAGAACTCCAGGGGTGTGTAGGAGCCCCAGGCCTGAGCCAGCAATGCCCTTTCTCTGTACAGAGACAAACAAGTGCCAAGCAGGGCCCTGTAGAAACGGGGGCTCCTGCAGGGACCTCCCAGGGGCCTACGTCTGCCAGTGCCCCGAAGGCTTTGTTGGCGTCCACTGTGAAACAGGTAAGCTGTTCCCCTCCAGAGGGTTCCCATGTGCAGAGCCTGGGCTATTCGAAGAGCAGGGGTGGGGGGTGGGCCTGGCATACCCTGATGGTATAGTCTGCCTTGGGAGAGGACAGCGGCTCCCTCAGGAGCTAAGGGGTTTCCTGTGCACCTGCCCCTGCCCCTCCACCTCTGCTCCATGCCTCCCCTTTCCCTTCCTCCCGCTGTCCTCTCCTCCCTCCCCCAGACTCCCCCCTTGCGGTTGGGCCCATTCTCTGGGTATTCTCCAGAGGTGGATGCCTGCGATTCCAGCCCCTGCCAGCATGGAGGCCGGTGCGAGGGCAGTGGTGGGGCCTACTTGTGCGTGTGTCCAGAGGGATTCTTCGGCTACCACTGTGAGACAGGTAGGGTTGCAGGCCTGTCTGCCCAGCGGGCTCTGTGGCCACCTCCTGAAAGATCCCTTCTCAGTCCTCTAGCCAGGGCCTCCCTGATCTCCTAATCTCCTCACGGTGCCCCCAAGCCCCATGCCAGAACCTGCCTTCTTGACAGCCCCAGCCTCATGTCTACCCACACGGCCCTGCTGCCCCTTCATTCTGGAACACCCTCCCCTCCTGCAAAGGCCTTCCTTGACCATGGATCCGCAGGGGACCCCCACACACACCTCTGCAGCACCATCCTCCTTCATGGCCCTCCAGGGCTCTCTGGAGTTGCTTCTTGTCCAACCTGCCACCCACCTCCCCTCCTAGGACAAGAGTATCAGAGAGATGGTGGCTTAGCCTGTCTTAGCCTGCTGGGCCTGGCCACAACACTCAATTGTATAGGGTGGATGGGGGTTGTTGGGCTTGGGCCCATCCACAGGGTGATGAGGGCAGGGAAGCCATGGGAGGAGAGGCTGGCATGGAGTCCCCTCTGCACCACAGACATGCCTGCAGAGGGACCCAGTGCCCCAGGAGCAAGGCCGGGCTGCAGGGGGCCTGGCAGTGCCTAGCACTCACCACTGCTTTTTCCTGCCCTCAGTGAGTGATCCCTGCTTCTCCAGCCCCTGTGGGGGCCATGGCTACTGCCTGGCCAGCAATGGGTCCCACAGCTGTACTTGCAAAGTGGGCTACACGGGCAAGGACTGTGCCAAAGGTGAGGCGGCAAGGGTGTCACCATGAGGGGGTGGGAGACCCTGCACTCCCCAGAAGTCCCAGAGGTCCCCAAGGGCAATATCTGGGCAGTGGCCTGCTCAAGCTCCTGACACAGTCCCTAGGTTCACACAGCACGTCACACATGCAGAAGTGTGAATTCCCAGAGGCACGTGGCCAGGGACTGAGGAGGACCCCACAGGGGTTTGTGCAGGCCCAAGAGCCCAGACAAAGGCGAGACTCCTGGCAGGGTCCAGGTGTGCCTGACCAGCAGCTGACCACACCCCTCCCCTTGTGTTTTGACCCAAACCCTGAAGAGCTCTTCCCACCAACGGCTCTCAAGGTGGACAGGGTGGAGGAGAGTGGGGTCTCCATCTCCTGGCGCCCTCCCGATGGCCCAGCCACCAGACAGGTGCTGGACGGCTATGCGGTCACCTACATCTCCACTGATGGCTCCTACCGCCGCACAGACTTTGTGGACAGGAGCCGCTCCTCACACCAGCTCCGGGCTCTGGTGCCAGGCAGGGCTTACAACATCTCTGTCTTCTCCGTCAAGCGCAAGGCCAGCAACAAGAACGACATCAGCAGGCCAGCCGTGCTGCTCGCCCGCACACGTGAGTGCCCTCCAGCCTACTGCCACCTGCAAAGGGGCACTGGCCAGGCCCTGGAGGGGATGGACAGACCATTTGCCCTGTGCTGTCCTATGTGGCTAAGGCTTGCTGGGCTGGAGGCACCAACCTTGCTGCAGATGGTGCTAGGGAAGATGGGCTGGGTCTTCCTGGGGGAAAGCTATGAACAGGTATAAAGTTTTAAAGTAAAAAAATTAGGGTGAACAGAGAGGAGAGTGAGAAAAACAAAAGCAGCAGGTAATGGGTAGGAAGGGGGCTGAGGGAGCAGGGGGCTGCCTGAGAAGGGGCCTGGGAACAGCCAGCTTGAGCAAGAGACAGAGGGCCCTTAGGGATCAGCAGCCATACACATTTTCCCAGTGAAGCTGGTGGAGAAGTTTGAACAGGCGGCTGGTGTGACCCCATGGTTGTGACAAACATACTCTGTCTACCTGCCTGGGAATCAGTGCTGAGAAGCCCTGGGCTAAGCCAGCAGGGATATGAAGTGGGGGGTCCTGGCCCAGAGCTGCAGGATGGATCTGGTGAGAGTGTGAATGTGGGTCATGATCACTGGGTGGGGGAATATGCAAAGAACAGGCCCCTGAGGCAGCGACAGACCTGGGCCTGTGGCCTGCACTGAGAGCCATGACCAGGTGCAATCCCTGAGGAAGATGGTGTAGATGGGGGCAGGACAGTGACTCCCTGTTCAGGGACCAGGCCAGAAGGGTCCAGGCAGCCAGGAGCAGGAGGAGGAGGTGCCACTGTCAGCCAACACGCTGGGAACACTGATTGAGGGCTCAGGCTGAGCAGGAGGGAGGAGGGAGCCTCCTTGGCCTTTGGGGAGAAAGGGAGGTGAGGCTATGGCCAGCTGGCGGGAGCAGGAAAAGGGGCGTCTCCTGAAGGCTTTGCGGGCTTAGCTGCTTGTCTGCTTCTGGGAATGACTTAGGGTGGAGAAAGAACCCCCAGAACACACTGTGGGCAACTAGATGGCCCTGCACACAGCCCAGCCCTCAGGGCAGACCTGGGAAGCTCCTGGTGCAGCTGGAACAGGGCCAGGGTGCGGGCCGCAGAGTGGGGAGGTCATGAGTAGCCTGCCACTAGGCAATAGGCAAGGCCAGAGGTGGGGCCGCGGGAGGCTCAGGGGCTGGAGCACAAGTTAGATCAAGACACCGTGCTGTGCCCTGGATAATACACACCCATGTGTTTAGCTGAAACTTTCAGGAAAAGCATCTTTTGTTTTAGTGTTTTAAAGGAGGGTCGTGTAGAGGCGGCTACTCTCATGAGAGGCACAAGGCACATAGCTGGCCACTGCAAGAACCCAGGAGAGAGCCTAGGTGGCAGGTGAGAGTGGGCCTATGACCTGAGTGCCCCACCTCCCCTAGCTGTCCCCTCCCGGCTCCCCCTCCACCCCATGTCCTCTCATTTCCTGTTCCTGCCCATGTCTGTCTGTGGGAACATGGCCAAGGCCGATCCACTGAGAACCTGGTGGGCTATTTACAAAAGCCTGCCCTGGGCTCCCAACCCCTGCCCTTTCCGAGCCACCTCGTCTCTCATGCAGCTGTCCCATCGAGGGCCCCTGACACTGTGCTGAGGGAGAGCCTTCCCTCATCCACTAGACTGAGACTCCTTGAGCCATCCACTCAGTAACATCAGAGTGAATGACAATGGCCTTTCCCAAACTTACAAATCCTACAACTCACCTGAGGGACTGGCCAGAACAAGACCCCTGACCACATGCAGATGCAGGGAACCACCTCTCCAGGATAAAGCGCAGGGGTCCTCTCTCTCTCTCTCTCTCTCTCTCTCTCCTCCTTCTGCCTTCCTTCTCTCTCTCTCCCGTCTTCCCCCTCGCTCTTCTCTACTCTCTCTCTCTCCTCTTCCCACTCTCTCCTTATCTCTCTCCCCTCTCTTCTCTCCTCCTCGGTGCTGTTCTGCAGCCTCCCTCCCCCACCAATAAAGACCTTTCATACAAGCAAAAAAAGAAAGAAGAAAGCACGGGGTGTCCAGTCCATTAACAAGTGTCCTAGAGGGTTCTTCCTACTACCCAGTTTGGGAAATTATACCGACTCAACACCTTGGGGTTGGAACAAGTCACAGGCTCAAGCCCCCCAAGCCTTCCTGCTTCACTGCCAGGTGCCCTCATAGACAGAACTTCCTGGGGACTGAGGCCCACATCATGGCAGCAGCTACAAGCAGAACCGGGCCTCAGATCCAGGCCTCCCAGACCCCACTCAGGGCTTTTACCCCTCAGCATGGTGTCCAGAGCCTCCTGGGAAATAAGCCCACCAGATTCTCAGTGGACCGGCCGGAGCCATGTTCCCACTGATGGGTGGGAACAGGAAATAAGAGGAGCTGGGGTGGAAGGTAGGCCAGGAGGGGACAGCTGGGAGAGGTGGGGCACTCACGTCATTGGGCCCACTCTCACCTGCCACAAGGGCTCACTCCCAGGTTCTTGCAGAGGCCAGCTCTGTGCCTCATGCCTCTCATAGGAAAAGGGGCACCTGTGTGGCCACTTCCATTCTCCTTTCACTGAGGTCCTGACACTGTCACATCACTGTTGGCAGTGTGCCCGCTTCCAAGATGGTGGCAGTGGTGGTGTCTAGCACAGTCAGTGAGCTAGAGGCCAGAGAGGGGACAGCTGAGAGGGGGTAGCACCAAGGGGGCACAATTACCATATTCCAGGGTATTCATTTGCATATGGATATCACTACTGCTTTCTAGAGTTACACTTTTAACACTTAAGGATGAGAAAAAGAATTAAAAACACTTTTATAGACAGAGAACTAGTACAGACCACATGTAATACGCAGTCTGCCTTGGCAGCTGTCACCCTGGAGGCAGAGTCCAGGCACTTCTGCCCACTGAGTCCCTCCAAGCGGCTCCTGGGACTGGAGCCAAGGGCTGGCCGGTCACCAAACTGTGACCCCAGGCTAGTCTTCCAGGCCTGTTCTTATCATAAGCCCCCACACTCCCTTGGGAACAAGGAGGGCCCAGCATTGGCTGAGCAGCCTATTGCCTCCCCAGGCCCCCGCCCTGTTGAAAGCTTGGAGGTCACTAACGTGACGGCCAGCACCATCTCAGTGCAGTGGGCTCTGCATAGGATCCATCACGCCACTGTCAGCGGAGTCCGAGTGTCCATCCACCACCCTGAGGCCTCCAAGGACCAGTCCACTGATATGGACAAGAGTGTGGACAGGTTCACATTTGGGTAAGAGGATAAGCCCAGATAACAGGGACCTGGGTCTAGGACGGGCTCTCCATGTGTTTGCCCCCGACCTGCTGCTCTTCCCTGGTGTGAGTGGGTTTGGGATGAGCCAGCCTATATTCTAGGGTCTCACTCCTGCCTCACCCTGTCTCATGGTTGTGTGAAGAGCAGGTCCCTTGGTACTTCAGAGTGCCTGGGAGAGCAGGGAAGCCCTAATCATCTGGGCCAGCACCTCCTGCACAGATACTGAGAGACAGTGACAAGGAGGCTGGAAGGGACTGCCCACAGCACATCCAGGGTCCCACAGTGGGCCCCGTGTGCTGACTGCCATCAGAGAGAAAGCTTCAGATTCCTGCTTGGGGGCAGATAAGCTGGAGAAGACAAGAAGTGGTGGGAGAGAAGCCTCCAGCCATAGCTTCCCAGGGCTGGTGGTCTTCACCTCATGCTGTCTGCTGGCTTCTGGGGCCTGCAGAGGAAACACAGGGCCTGTTGAGGAAATTTCCATCCCATCACATGTGTCTTTGACACAGATGTTCATGTCAGCTCAGTGGGGACATCTCAACTGTGGCCAGCTCAGAGTGGTCACCAGTAGGGGCTTCTGGAAACAGGCACTGGCAGGGAGACAGCAGAGGGGGACGCTAAGGGACGCAGGGAGACAGCAGAGGGGGACGATAAAGGGACGCAGGGAGACAGCAGAGGGGGACGATAAAGGGACGCAGGGAGACAGCAGAGGGGGACGCAGGGAGACAGACAGCAGAGGGGGACGCTAAAGGGACGCAGGGAGACGCTGCTAAGTCTAGGTGCGCCATGAGCACACTTCCTGTCCTGTCCCAGGTAGTCCCACAGGACACGCTCCATCCCCAAGCAACTAGCCTGATGGCCAGTAAGAAGCTGCCCAGCAGAGAAACTGCTACTCTAGGGCAGCCCGAGTAGCACTCCCTGCCCAGAGCCAGTGAAAAGTGGACACTCGGCCTAAACCACGGTTTGGATCAACAGCAGGGAGCCCCCAGTCTGTTAAGGGGAACCCTTAGTTCCCAGAGACCAGCCCAGGGACACCTTGCCAGCAGGTCCCTGTGAAGGAGCAGCTGGCCGGCCTGTAGCCCTGTCCTGCCAGAGACTTTCTGAGGTGCCCATCTGACTCTTACCACACTGCAGCCGCTGTGAGAGCACCTGGCCCTTCTCAGCCCCTCACTGCACTGGACAGACTGTAGGTGGTTTCTCATGGAGAGAGCACACAAGTCTGAGGGCCACAAATCTGTCCCTCATGGAGGTGGCCTGGGTCACCAACAGGAGCACACACACCTGTGGTCACATCCAGTCTGAGGGAGCCACAGCCCCTCAGCAGGTTCTGTGCCCCTCTCCCCTCACTCCTCCTTCCACAGGGCCCTGCTGCCAGGAAGGAGATACACTGTCCAGGTGACCACCCTCAGCGGGCTCTGGGGTGAGGAGCATCCCACTGAGAGCCTGGCCACTGCCCCAATGCACGTCTGGACCCGTAAGTAGGAGCATGGCCCAGTCAGCAGGGCCTTTTCTAGAAGCTCTGACCTCCCTCTAGCACCTGTCAGTCCTCCCCAAAGTGCCCATGACATTAGAAACAGCTCTGAGCCTCCCAGAAGTCCCTTACACTAGACTGCAGGGCAGGAGCCACTGGGCTGGGCCAGGTCCTTCTGCTGCCCTCAGCACCCGAAGGCTATGGCAGCTCTTGTGAGATGCTGACCAACAGGCCAGAGGGGCACATTGGGCTCAGAATGTCCACACTGCCCAGCCTGCTGCCACTAAGCTGGGGTGTCACTAGACTGCCCCCCCCCCAACACATGGAAGGACCAGGTGGAATGGCCATTTTTCTGATGGCCCAAAAAGGATTCCAAAATTGCAGAATCTGCAAGGAGCAAAGGCTGAGGCAGAACTTGCCCAGTGGGTGTGACTCTGCCTCCCCAGCTCTTGACCAGAGCCCCCCCAGGGAAGGTAGTGAAAGGATGTGGGGCAGGGGTTCCACCTGGGGTCTATGCAGCCACATGTGAGGGTCTCACAATGGGCCAGTCTGTGGGGCTTTTGCTGGGTGAATTTGAGCCCGAGGGGACAACAACGTTGGGCCAGGGACCCTCAGGGCAGGATGGAGGTGCTTCTGCATACCTGTCACTGTGGACACCCTACACACCACTTCTTAGGACTACACAGGGTCTCACAATTAAGTTTGTGAACTTGCCACTGTGCACTTACATTGGCAGCACTGTATAAACAGCTCAGTAAGGGTCCGTAATCTTGGTGTATCAGATCTTACAGCTGTGTTCATGCCAATGTGTGGTGGTACCTTACTGCTTGGCGTTCACTACGGTTTTTATGTGCTGAGTGAGAAAGTCGGAGGTTGAATTAGAGCAACAAAGAAGCATTAAATTTCTTGTTAAACTTGGCAAGAGTGCAAGTGAAATCAAGGACATGTTAGTCCAAATTTATGATAATGCCATGAAGAAAATGTTAGTATACAAATGATTAAACCTTTCTCTGAGGGGAGAGAAAGTCTTACCAACAAAGAGAGGTCAGGGTGGCCAGTAACAAGCAGAACCAACAAAAAACATTGCAAAAACTTGTGAAATTGTGTGTCAAAATTGTTGGCTGACTGTAAGAAGCATAGCAGACCATGTAAACATCAACAGAGAAACCAGATAATCTTAACCGAAAATCTAGAACAACTCATGGCTCTTGCATCACAACAATGCACCAGCTCACACCGCTCTGCGAAGGAGTTTTTAGCCAGTACACAAATAGCTGTATTGGAACATCCTCCTTACTCACCTGATCTGGCCCCCAGGAACTTTTTTTTTTTTTTACTTGAAGATAAAGGAAATATTGAAAGGAAAACATTTTTATGACATTCAGAACATCAAAGATAATTTGATGACAGCTCTGACGGCCATTCCAAGGGTTCCAAAATTGCTCTGAAGAGTGGACTAGGCACTGGCACAGTGCACAGCTTCCCCAGGGGAATGCTTCAAAGGTGACTGCAGTGAGACTCAGCAGTGAGGTGTGGAGCACTTTTCCTAAGGCGAGTTTATGGACTTAACTGTCTGATCCTATAGTTTCCAAGGAGGCTTGAAAAATCCATATCAAACACTTAAACTGTGTCCTTGCCAGATGATCCCATGGGCCCCACCCTTCACCTCCTCCCCACTCTGTGTCTTGTCCAGGTCCTCTGCCTCCAGCTAATCTGACTGCCACTCGGGTCACAGCCACCTCTGCCCATGTAGTGTGGGACACCCCCACTCCAGGTGACTTGCTCGAGGCTTACATCATCAATGTGACCACCAGCCAGAACACAAAGAGCCGCTATGTCCCCAGTGGGAAGTTGGCATCCTACACGGTGCGTGACCTGCTGCCCGGGAGGCGCTACCAGCTGTCTGTGACAGCTGTGCAGAACACAGAGCATGGCCAGTTGCACAGTGAGCCCGCCCACCTCTACATCATCACCTGTGAGTGCCAAGCCAGGGCCCTGGGCAGGGTGGAGACAGGGGTTTGGTCAGTGCACCAGACTGTTCAGGACCGACCCAGCCATCAGGCCTGGGCCACCAACAGGGCAGCGGCCTGGACTGACATCCTTGGGATGTGGTGTCCTTGCCCTCCTCTGGTGGGGGCATACTACCCAAGGGGCATCAGACAGGCAGCCTGGAGATAGGATGCATGTCAAGCAGAAAAAATTCACATATGGGCTGAAGGGTTTTCAAGTTGGTGCAGAAAGGAGGGACTCAGGGACACACAGGGACAGCCACTTGGAAAGATAGGCTTGTGGAGGCCTGTCTGTGCCAGACCCCTCAGTAGACCCCAGGAAGGCGAGTAGTAAGTACATGGAATCACCTGGGGTGGATGCCCAGAGCAGCCATGAAGAGGAGGTCCCAAGAGCGGCCTTGCAGCCCTAGCTGACCAGGAGGGCCACTGGACATGAGTGGGGCAGCTGGGCACACAGAGGCTCAAGCCATATCAGTAACCTGGGTCAGCTCTGAGTGCAGAGGGGGCCCTGCACATACTGCTTGTTTCTCTGAAGCCCACAAAAGGTGCTGTGGGAATGAGGCACACGTGAAAAACAGTGCGTGTGGACACAGGCATGTGGGAACAGGGCACATGTGAGACCTGGCCGTGGCAGCACAGGGAGCAGAACACTGAGAGGAGACAAGCAGGGAGCCCCCAGCAGGCAGTGTGGGGCCCCCGGGCTCCCCTGTGAGGCATCAGCTACATCTGCCCCTCAGACCCAGCTGCCCCTGCCAAGCAGGCCCAGTGTGCTGAGGCAGTTCCAGTGAGCTGGTCCACGTGGGCCGCCTGACTTGGGCCCAGCCTAGGAGGTCAAAAACCACTTCTCACTGTGCGCCAGTGTGCTGGGGTCTCAGCAGAGGTGTCCAGCCAGGAAAGCCACTTGCTGGGAACAGCCTCAAACCATATCCAGGTGCCTTGGAAATAGAGAACTTGAGTCTGAGGTGGGGGGTCTGGGACCCACCTGGCAACTTCCAGGTGAGGGCGTGTCCATGTTGCAGCTCTGAGGCAAGTAACTGACCCTCAGAAGGGACGGGTAGGCTGGAGGCAGGGAAGCCCCAGCCCTGAGCCACCACAGCCTGCATGGCCCCTGCCCTTCTCTAAGCACTGGAGAGTAGTAGCCCCTCCTAGGCAGCAGTAGCAGGACAGTCAGTCCAGGGCAGCCCCCTTCCCCCACCCCCATGCCACTCCATCCATCTGCTCTGCAGCCCCCAGGGATGGTGCCGACAGACGCTGGCCCCAGGGAGGACACCACCCACGGGCGCTCAGGAACAGGCCGCCCCCTGTGCGCCTGCCAGAGTTGCAACTGCTCAACGACCATAGCGCCCCTGAGCTGCTCTCCCAGCCCTCCAGGTACCCAGCCCGTTGTCTGCTGCCCACAAGGCCAAAGTCTGGCAGTTGTGAACCCCTTCTTCTCCACAGGTTCTCTGAGCTTGTGGACGGCAGAGGAAGAGTGAGTGCCAGGCTCGGTGGCTCCGCCCATAAGCCAGTCCCCACACAACCACGTGAGTGCTACCCACACTGGGAGGCCAGCCCCCAGGCCTTCCCACACACTCAGCTGGCCCCTGGCCCAGCATGGTGATTGACAAGGCCCTGAAGACCTTGGCTGAAGCCCACCTGGTCTCCAGCCCAGCCGGACGCTGCTGGTGCTCAAGGCTCTGGGTGTGGGCGTGGGCAGCAGCTTGTTAGTGCGCAGCCCAGTGGGCAGGATGTGGATAGGATGAGAGAGGAAGATGGTGGGCACGGGCCCAGACTCTACGGAAGCTTTGCTTGCCATATTAGGACTCGGGTTTTGTCTCTTAAGCAGGCGACAGGAGGCTGTGGTAGCTGAATTCTCCAGTGTGCAGGAACCCACCCAGAGTGTCAGTTGGAGTCCATCTTGAACAAGGCACCGGGTGCTGGGCAAGTGGGGCACAGCCCAGGGCGCGTGTCCACTTCTCATTTTATGGCCGCGTTCCACAGGCAGAGCCTTGGGGTTCTAGTCCTGCTCAGGCCTAGCCTAGAGGGGCCACCTGAGGAGGCACCACAGGACATGGGCAGCCCTGGTCACTTTCCCTAGGAAGTCATCCCAGCAGCAGGAGGCAGGTAGCTGGCTCCTCCCCAAAGCTTATTAGGGGCTGAGGTGGGAGCCTGCTGTAGCAAAGGCCTTCCCATGACCCTGATGTGGCCCAAGACACCCTGGGCAGGAGGCAGGTGCCACTGGGCCTGTCTGGGAGCCTCACGTCGCATAGCCAGGTGCTCATCCTCACAGAATTCCCTGGCAGAGAGCCCAGTCTCCAGTTTAATGAATATTTCAACTAACAAAAACTTACTGGGCAAGAAAAGGGAAAGAAAGAATGAGGTGTGCAGCAAGGAGGGGAGGAGGAGCCCTCAGGGACCAGGGTGGGGATAGCAAAGGGGTCACCGCCATGTGGTGAGCAGGAGGAAAGAGCCCAGGGCCAGGCATCTGGGGGACAGGCAGTCAGCTGCCCTCACCTTGCTCAGTGGAGGCAGGTGGGCCTGGGGCACAGAGGCAATGCAGATAGGAAATGCTCAGTGTGCAGGTGAAAGCCTTGTACAGAGGGCTGCAGAGACTGAGACGGGGAGGGGGCAGCGGCCCCAAAAAAGCAGGACCTGGAGGGAGAAGAAGCAGGACTTGACCCATGGGAGGAAACAGCACCAGCACCAGCGGAAGTTCAGGGGCCTCTCAACAGCACAGGTCACTGGAGCCTGACCCAGAGCAGCTCTGCTAGGCCCCACAAGGGAAGGCTGGTCTCTGCTGGGGGTCAGCAGGAGAGTGAAGCTAAACCTCTGGCAGTGGGGTGTAGGGCCAACAGCGTCTGCTCACCAGACGCCATGCCAGGAGCCGGGCCGAATGTCCCTACACCCTGCGGGGGAGAAACAGCTTAAGGGGGCAGCCCAAGGATGTCCTGGAGGGGAGCTGCCCTGCCACGTGGTTACTAACTGGCTTCTCCTAGAACCCACAGTCCCGGTGCAGCCTGAGAATGTGGAGGAGACCCCCAAGCAGGTCAGCCTGGCCCTGCAGCTCCCTGAACACAGTGACAAGGCCATAGAAAGTAAGTCAGCAGCAGTGGTGGGGATTTGGGGACTGACCATTCTCGACGGCCTTAGAAAACACAGAAGGCCCCAGGCAGCAGGCAGAGACAGGGCAGTGTGTATCCCAGTCTGGAAAGGGTTGGGCAAAGCACACCACCCCAGCAGCAGCACCCCACCCTGCTACTGACAGGGAACAGGCCAGCAGGCAGGGTCTGTGACTAGCCCTGCCCCTGCCTCCTGCACCTGCCCCAGCCCCAGTTCCCCCACCCTGTGTGCAGCTGCTCCTTGTTCTCCATAGAGAAGTATGTTCAGTCAGAATGGTGGCAGTCGGTGGAGGGAGTAGCTGGGCCACACCAGGGCACACAGGGCCTCACCTGTCCCTTAGACCAGTGCTCTGCCTCGTGAGCGCCTCCAGTAAGAGCGCCCCACAGCTCAAGAGGAATTTTCCACACTGGACAGCACGAGTAGACACATGTGCCTTACACGAGCCTGACTCCATGCTGCCTGGCCCCTCCATGGACAGCTCTCCTAGGGCCCAGTTTCCCTTTTTCACCTGAGTCACACCATGTACTCAGTTTGGGTCACCCATCAAGCAACCCCAAAGAGGCCTAGTGGCTGGTGAGGACACAAGCCTCTGACAGTAGGCCTGCCGCCTCTGCCACCTGCCACAATGCCAGAGGTGCATTTGCCGGTTCAGTACCCCCGAACCCCAGGTCCAGCACTCTCCCCTCCCACATGAGGTCTGACTTTGCTCCTGGACTGGCTGAGCCCCAGAGAGCTGGTTTGTGCATCAGATGCAGTCAGGAAGCTTCCCCTCATTAAGGTGCAGTTCCCTCAGAGTAAAGGTTGTTTCTTTTTTCTTTTTCTTTGTTTCTTTCTTTTTTTTTTTTGAGACAGAGCCTCAAGGTCTCACCCTGGGTAGAGTGCTGTGGCATCACAGCTCACAGCAACCTCCAACTCCTGGGATTAAGCAATTCTCTTGCCTCGGCCTCCCAAGTAGCTGGGTCTATAGGCACCCGCCACAATGCCCGGCTGTTTTTTGGTTGTAGCTGTTGTTGTTTGGCAGGCCAGGGCTGGATTCGAACCCACCAGCTCTGGTGTATGTGACTGGCACCTTAGCCGCCTGAGCTATAGGCACCAAGCCCGTGAAGGTTGTTTCTTAAGCCAACTAAACAAACATTTCATCACATGGTTGCATGGTGTCAGCTCCTTAAATATGATGTTCCATTTGGCAAAATCCAGGAACCCAGAAGGGCATGAATCAGCTCCCCAGGACAGGACAGGCTGGAAGCAGCACAAAGCCTGGCCCCAAGGCCATAGCAGTTCAGTAGTATTTAGTGGTGTTAAGTGAGAATATGGAAAACAGAATCTTTACTGGCCTCTGGGATGGAAAATTAATCACGATCTTTGGTTCATGCTGCACTGTCATGTCGGCCACCTTGTACTCAGTTCAGCTAGTTAACTTTTGATAAAACTGTGGCCTTTAAACCTAGAGCCAAAGCCACGAAGCAGGACATGAGCAGTGGCCGCGTCTTGCTGTCATGCTCCATCTCTCCCTGCAGTTAGCCATGATCCTGAACTTGGTGTTTGTGATGCCCTTGTTCCCTTAGCATAGAAGGTGGGGAGGAGTACACCATGGCACCTGTATGTCTGCCCACGCCACACATGTGATCTTCACCTGTGTTCACACTTAGCATTCCTGTGCTGAGTGTGATTCACTCATCTTGTTCATATCTGGGACTGAGTGTGGAGTCCGTGGAGTCCATGGTGAACTCCCTGGCTCTTTTCGGGCTCTCTGTGTGGAAGGCTTGTGGGTAGCATTTGGCTGGTGCGTGTGTCCAAGCAGAAATGCTGGATCTTAGGGTATGTGAATTCCCAAGTTACATGAGGCTGAGGCCTTTTCTCAGCGGTGCCATCAGTCTACCCTCCCACCCCCCGCAGTGATTAAGTGTCTCTCCAGACCTTGGTCCTGCCAGGTCCATGGGCCCACAGAGCAAGGCGCCACACCCCCACCACCCCAAGCAGGCGGGTGTCTCTTGCTGGGTATCTGCCAGGGATGTCTGCTTTTCTGTGAAATGCCCAGTCCTGCCACTGACTTTAAAATCAGATTGTGTGTACTTTCCTTACTCATTTGCCAAAGTTTTTTAAAGATGTTTTAACACAAATCCTTGTCAGGTACGTGTTTTGAAACTTCTTTTTTCAGCCTCTGGCTCATCTCCCTGTTCTCTCCCCCTCACTAAGGTGCAGTTCCCTCAGAGTGAAGGTTCCTAATCAAATTTATTAAGCATTAATGGTTAGTGACTTGGGGCCTTCTTTTAAAAATATCTTTCCCTACACAAAGTTAGAAAGTTTTCATGTATATTTGTTTCTCAAAGATTCAAAGTTTTGTATTTGACATTTAGTTTATTGATCTTTCTGAAGCGGATTGTGTGTGTGTGTGTGTGAGAGAAAAAGGGTTGTGGTTTCATTTATTATGCACAAAGGCAAACTGGTTTTTCACTAAATAGTCCCTTTTCTCCACTGTCAATACCCAATTTCCACATATAAAAGTGAACTCTGGCTGCGCCCGTTTGACAGACCTGTGCCAGCACCACCTGCTCCCACAAACTCGGCGTTCCCTGGTGCCGCTGGAAGTCCTTCTTCTTTGCTTTCATCTTCAGATGTTTCCTGGGCATCCTCGGCCCTTGCCCTCCATGTATACATCTCAGAATCTTCTGATCACATTCCATGAAAAAGGTTTTCGAGATGATTTGATGTGCACTGAATCCATGAACCATTTTTGTGAAAATAGACATTTCAGGATATTAAGTCTATCCATGGACAGGGAATATCTCTTCATACAGTTAAGACTTGATGTCGTCTAGTAAATTTTATGTGGAATACAGATTTACTCCTATTTTATAATTTAAACTATTATTATTTGATATTAGTATATACTTTTAAAAATTCTATTTCATGATTACTTATTACTGGAGTATATATATAGAGAGAGATAGCTTTGCAGACTGTTTCCAAATGTCTGGCCAAACTCTTCTCTTTTATCATGGCTTCTTTGGGGTTTTCATGTACATAGTCATATCTCTTAAAAGCTTAGTAGCTTTCCTTTTAAACTCAGACCTGATTTTTGTTTTGTATGACATAGAAGTAGGTTCTTTTTCTTATGGACTTGTATCAGCCACCGTCTCCCACGGCTCTGCAGGGCTGCCGTGTCCAATGCACATCACCCTTCTGTGCTGTGTCACTGTCCTCCAGCCAGCACCAGCTATTTTAGTGATGGTGGCTCTGGCCCTACTTGCTATGCTGTAGGGCCAGTCCTCCATCTGACCTTCAAGGGAGTTTGGACCATTCTTGGCCCTTTGCACATCAATGGACTTTTAGGGTCAGACTGTGAAGTCCCACTGAGTGCTTGCTAGGACTTTACATAGCCATATTTCTGAGGCTCGTATGCCTGTAAAATTCTGAGTAGCATTCACATTTGAAGGTTAGTTTGGCTGGACATAAAATTCTCGGTTGAAGTTCCTTTCTCCTTCAGTTCTTCCCATACTAGTCCAGGTTGTCTTGTATCCAGCACTGCTACTAGGCCTGCTCTTATCTCCTCATAGGGTAACCCGCTCCTTCTCCCTGGAAGCTGTTAAGACTGCTTTCTCAAGGGAAGAGGATCTTCAGAGCACCCCAGGCACCCCAAAAGCAAAGTTAATACTCCTGATTGTCACATCCTCACCCAGCAACTGTCCAGATCCGGACTGTCCCTTCAGGCCTGAGGGAGTATGTCCTGGAGAGAAGGCAGGTCCCCAAGCTTGTAGCGGAAGCTTCTGCCTGCACCTGCATGAACTATGGACTCAGGGTCCCAGCAGCCCCAGAGTGGTGTAGGTTCCTGTCAGTCTCTGTCGCTGTGGCTGCCCTGCACGCAGGGCTGAGGAGTGGCAGCATGAGCCCCCGCACTCCGAATGCTGCTGCACACAGTCATGTTCTGTAGGGGCTCTACAATGCCTCTGGACAATTGTGTGCTGTGTCTACATTCATATGGAATTGTAAGGGACCCAGAATAGCAAAAATAATTCTAAAAAAGAGGGGAAAAAACAGGAGAACTCACACTTTCCAGTGTCAGGACTTACTACAGAGTGACGGCAGTGAAGCAGCAGTGGTGCTGGCCTAAGGACAGGCACGTAGAGAGATGGGGTAAGAGTAAGAGTGCAGAAACAAAGCCACACAAGTGTGGGCAGCTGATTTTGACAAGGGGCCAGCACCACTCGGTGGGGACAGAATAGTGTTCTCCATTCATGCTGCCGGGATGGTGGTGGCCACATGCAAACCAGGGATGTTGGACTCACGTCCCACCATGTGCCTTCACACACAAGATAACACAAAATGGACTAAAGACCCAAATATTAGGAGCTAAACGCCATGTTAGGAGAAAACACTGTGTTAGATATGGCAGAGGATTCTTAGATACAACAAAAGAATGCGGAAGAAGAACAAAAGGATAATTGCTCTTCGTCAAATTTCAAAACTTTTATGTCTCAAGGACACCATCGAGGAAATGAAAAGACAGCGCATGGAATGGAAGGAAATATTTGTAATTCATATATCTGATAAAGGACTTGTATCCAAAATACATAAAGAACATTTACAACCAAGTAATAAAAGACAAATAATCCAGTTTAAAAATAGGCAAAGGACCTAAGCAGACTTCTCTCCAAAGAATAGCTAGTAAACACATGAAAAGATGCTGGACGACCTTAGTGAGCTGGAGAGTACACATCAGGACCACAGTGAGGTGCTGCTCCACCCACCAGGTGCTGGAGTCACAAAGTCAGGTAGCAGCAACCCCGGGAGGATGTGGGCAGAGAAGAGCCCTCACCACTGCTGGCAGGGACATAGAGTGGCGCAGTGGCTTTGGGGAGAAACAGACTGACAGTTCCACTGAGGACAAAGAGTCCATCCCTAAGCAGGTTCCCAAGAGAAATGGAAACATTTTCACACAGGTCCTGTGCACAGATGTTCACAGAAGTGTAACACAATAGCCACAAAGTGGAAACAGCCAAAAAGTTCATCAGCTGATGAATGGACAACTAAACGTGATGTGTCTACACCACGGAGCACTGCTCACATATAGAAAGGGAAGGGAGTGTACACCTGGGACACAGATGAACCTTGAGAGCACGCTGAGTCACAGGCAACCACAAAGACCAGAGGTGTTCACAGTATGATTCCATCTGTGTGAAAGTCCAGAACAGGGAGATCTACAGTGACAGAAAAGTATATCCATGATTGCTTAGGACTTGGGTTGTGGAGTGGACAGTGACAGCTTTGAGATTTCTTTTTGAGGTGTCAAAAAATCTTCTAAAATTGTGGCAATGTATTCATATATTTGTGAAGATGCTAAAAACCAATTTATGGTATACTTTAAATGAGTAAACTTTATGTTATATAAAATATATCTCAATAAAG